TCAGGTCCTCACTTCAGGCTTCAGTTTGCTTTCATTTTACCTAATGTCTGAAGTTTTCAGGGTTCTTGGGGACTCTTGTGGGATGGGGGGGTGGAGGGAAAGAATCGCAGCTTTTTAATTCTCAAATTTGTCTCTAAGTAGAGTGAGGTAGCCAGGCTATGCCAAAAGATTTGATCTGAGCTCCTGATGGGAGTTTACAGAGCTCAGTTGGTACCTGGTGTCTGCATTAGATCACACTGTTAAAGGCTTAAAGTTATTTCAGTTCATTTTTAAATAATGACAGTGATTCAGCTTCATATTAAATGAACAAAGCTTACAAAGTGCATTTGTGGGTGTGTCAATGACTCTCTTTTTCCCTATTCTGCCTGCTCAATAGTGAAGTAACTTTAACTTCTGTAAGATAAAAGCTGCCTCTTGTGAAACTGGCAGTGTGTCAAACTCCAAAAACTGACACACTGGAAATTATTAGGATACACTTACTAGTCAGGACATGAACCTGCATACTCATGGCAAGTGCATTTCAGCAGCTCTGGCATCTGAATTTGCCTTTAATGAGCCATGGCAAGGCAAGGAGAACTTCTTAATAGACTCCAGTTCCATAAATTGGGGCTGCTACAGTCCAATTCTTTCTGCACTTGGATTCCTTGGATTGGTTGCAGTTGAATTTATGGATTGGGACTTTCCAAATCTCCTTCTCGGGAATCGAGAGCTATGGTAGGGAAGGGGAGCAGAACTTGCAGTGAGCCTGCTGCTTCAGGATAATGTTGTGGGGAAGCTGAGAAATACATGCTTGCCTTGTGGTTGGAGCACATTTAATATAAGGTAGCAAGTAAACCAGTCCTGCTTCCACGTTCTAGGATTGCTGTAAATTGTGCATGCTCTTTAAAGCGCACTTCTTTGCAGTTTTTTTCTCTCTCAGCTAGCTAACTTGTAAATTAGTTAGCTCATCTCATTTTGGCTTTGCTAGACTGAAACATGCAGACCTGCATCCCGCTTGCTTATTGCCACGTTAAGCTCTAACACTTCATTCCCAAAATGTTACTTTCTTGGTGCAGACAATAAGACTCTCTTTGTATCTCAGGTGGTCCGCAGCCGTCTGGAAAAGAGAGGCATTGCAGTCCATAATGTGAGATTGAATGGCTCGGCAGCCAGCCACGTCCTACATCAAGATAGTGGCCTGGGGTACAAAGACCTGGACCTCATTTTTGGTGTGGATCTGAAAAGTGAGGATGTGTTCCAGCTGGTTAAGGATGTGGTCATGGACTGCCTCTTGGACTTCCTCCCAGAAGGAGTAAACAAAGATAAGATCACCCCTATGACTCTAAAGGAGGCGTATGTGCAAAAGCTAGTGAAAGTGTGTAATGAAACAGACCGCTGGAGCCTCATATCGCTGTCCAACAACAGCGGGAAGAACGTGGAACTCAAGTTCGTAGACTCTCTCAGGCGGCAGTTTGAATTCAGTGTGGACTCCTTCCAGATCATACTGGATTCACTGCTGCTGTTCAGCGAGTGTTCAGAGAACCCCATGTCTGAGAACTTCCACCCTACAATCACTGGGGAAAGCATGTATGGGGACTTTGAGGAAGCAATGGACCACCTCAGGAACAGAGTCATTGCCACCAGGAATCCAGAGGAAATCAGAGGCGGTGGCCTTCTGAAGTACTGCAACCTCTTGGTGAGAGGATTTAAGCCCAAATCGGAAGTGGATATGAAGGCACTACAGAGATACATGTGCTCCAGGTTTTTCATAGACTTCTCTGACATTGGTGAGCAGCAGAGGAAGCTAGAGTGTTACCTTCAGAGTCACTTTGTTGGCATGGAAAGCAAAAGATACGAGTACCTTATGACCCTGCACAGGGTGGTGAATGAGAGCACTGTATGCCTGATGGGTCATGAAAGGAGGCAAACTCTGACCCTCATTGCCATGCTGGCTGCAAGGGTCCTGGCTGAGCAGAGCATCATCCCAACCGTCACAAACGTTACCTGCTACTATCAGCCAGCACCGTATGTCAGTGAAATAAACTTCAACTACTATGTTGCCCACGTGCAGCCCCTTCTGCCTTGCAGTCACTCCTATCCAACGTGGCTTCCCTGTAATTGAGCATGGATGATGCTCAGGACCTCCGCTCCAAAGCGTTTCCTTGCCTTTGGGAGCCTTTCGGGAAGACCTGCAACAAAAGGAAACTTGCTGGACTCTTGAGCAAGACTGTCTTGTTCCAACAGTCCTAGGAACTAGCGCTGTCTGCTGTACACTCTAGAGATTGGATGTGCAGTGTTATGGAAACTAGACCTATTTGAGATGTTTACAGGAAGACTGAATCACTTAGTGAATTATGTAGGCAATTGAGGGTGGGGGCGTGTTAGGGGGAGACTACAGACTTAGAATAAGATAGAGCTGCACTGCCCCAAAATGCAAAAGGATCTAACTTTTTTTTTTTTTTAAGTGCAGAAGTGTTATGGGTTGTGCAGACTCGTGGTTTCTGAAGATAGAAGCCAGAGTGGCTAATTACTTCGAAGGACCAAAGAATCCTGTTTAAGTGCCTGTAACAACATAAAACACAATTGTACTGTAAACTTTATTTTTCAGGGGCTGAGGTCCCGAGTGCTTGAGTGGGGAGTCTCAAAAAGAAAAAGGAAAAAAAGGGGAAAAAAAAAAGTTTTTGCGGGACGGGGGGGGGTCACCTGATCATTTCTAGTAACCGAACTGAAGCAGATGTTGGATTGCAGGTTACATGTTGCTAAGGTTTTTGGCATGGCTTGCTGCCTATGAAGGATCGACTGTGGCAAATAGCGGTCCAAGCTGAGTTGCACAGAAATGGGGTTAGCTTTGATTGACTACATGTAAAATGCCTAAGCATAATATGGGAGGGTTAGGCGGGGAGGAGGGAGGGAAAAGTGCATGGTGGCAAAAGCTGTGCTGAGCTTTGGAGATGGAAAGCAATAGGGGGGTTTACATGTGTAATGACTATTTAAAAAAAAAAAAAAAAAGTCCCAAGTCTGCAGTGCCAAATGTAACTATGTACATAAACAGTAAAGCTAAGAGTCTGTTTTGGAGTCTGCCCGTGGCTTCACCAATACATAACCATATATTTTCTAGGGAATTTGAAATACTACTTTTTTTGGCATGCAGTGTGGTTTTAATGCACAAAGCCAGTGGCTAGCTGGGTTATCTAGAAAAGACTAGGCTTGTCTTGAAGCACAAACTGACTCACTGGCTAGTCAAACCATTATCAGCGATAGCAACTACCATGGTGGCTGGAGCCAGTTTTAGGTCAAATGTACAGAACCTGGTCCCTCGGTACTAGAATGCTGTTGAATGAATCCAGCAGATTCTTTCCATTTGAGCCTCCTTTGGCTCAGACTTCTTCCTTCCTGTGCCCATCTTCATGCCCTTTCTTCAAAAGCAGCCTGTTTCCACATCTGAGCAACAGATAACATTTTAAATTCAAATGTAGCTTAGAAATGGAACTTGTCTAGCTGTTACTTCATTTTGTGCAAAAATCAGTTTGGCCTTAGGAACAGAGAGATCCTCTCGTGACTCCCCCCCCACCCCTGTTTAAAAAAACAAACCAAAACCTTTTATGCCTGTGGGAGTTTTGGTACATCTTATGCAAGTATATTGACTTTGAAGTTGCTGTGATGTCTAGAGCACAAAAAGTCCTGCCCTGAGCTGTCTGAAGTGAATACCCCTCCTTTTGGAACATCACATCTCAGGCTTAACTATGCATTATTTGTGGGGAGAGGGGGCGGAAGGGGGTTTAAAGCTCGTACGGTAGAGACATCTGGCACTTTAGCCATCAGCTCTACTGCTCAGAATATATGATGCAAGCCACTTCATAGCGCTTTCTAAGTGGCTAACAAAACATGAGCACTTATTTACTAATTTTGCTTTTTGGTCCTTGACAACACTGTACCATGGCTGGACTGACTGAACAGTCTAATTAATAAAGATTAGATACTTGGAATGTGAATAACCAGAACTTTACCTTCTTGGTGCTGGGAGAGGATGTGTGGAGTGGGGTGGGAGCAGGGAATGTGTGGCTTGTACAGCTTAGTGAACACAAACAGCTTAAATCCTGTTTCCCAACCACTTCTTATCCAGTATGAACTGAAGAGGAACAGGTCCCTGCCACTGTCATAGTTAAGGGGTTTAACAATCACCTCTTGTAAATAGTTTTGTACTTTCAGAACAAATAGTTGAAAGCTTTAAAGGTAAACTCCACTACGTAGCAGTTTAACTTCCTGATGCCCAGAGCCTTACTTCGGTTGCAATGCCTGACGAAAAAGAGTTTGAGACCAGTCTTCCCTTGTGCTGAAAAAAACAAACCGGTTTAACGGCTGCTTTTGAGAACTAACTAGGATCTCTAGGTATGCAATCTTCACTTTGAATATACTCGCTTCAAGGAGCAACCTGTTTTTGCACTGTTTAGCTAGGCTTCAGATTAGCGCAGATGAGATGTAAGTGTGCTGCTGCTTGATTTGCAGGCTCTTCACTTTTTATCACAAGCATGTAGGCTGGCGCGCTAAACAGAGAGAACTCCCTCCTTCCCCTCGTAGAATGTAAAGGTTCCCAACCACCAAAGGCTTGATGGGGGGGAATTTAAAATAAGATTGCACTTTGATTTGTGGAGTGTGTGTGGTGAAATTCTTGTGAATGGGGTTGAATTGGCATTTTCCAGATATTTGGAGTGTGAGATCATGCTGCCTCTTGTGAGGGGGGAAAAATTGGAAGATTCCAATAGTTTGAATGGCACTTTTTAATTTTGTTTCAAATGTGCATTTTTTTCCTACACCTGTATCACTTGTCATGCAATGGGCTTGACATAAAGACTCACTAGATTCTTTAGAATCTGTTACAAATAAATACAGTGTATTCAAATGTGTTGAATTTCTTTTTTCATTGTTTACCTGTCCTCCTATGGGTAATGCAGTTTTCACTAATTCTGGCTCTTGCTAATTGGAATAAAAAGCTAACTGGATGCATTGGGATAAGAAGGCAGGCCTGTTCTGTGCATGCTTGCTGGGATTATGACTTAATCTCAAAGTTTCCAAATACTGCTTGTACACTAGCATGAACTGAAGCAACTACAGAGGCTTGGAGTAAGTGATTTATAGGGAGCAATCTTGGTGGCAATCATACCAGCAACCCAAACGCTTTTGACTTAACCCTTGTTCTTCAGCTGAGTGTGCACTCTTTCCTAGCTGCTTGTCATGCTACTTTTGGGGGAATATGTCCTGGCTGCCGCCTCGGTTGGTAGGGAATAGTTTATCTCGCATAAGTCCTGTTCTGTGAAGACTGGAATACTTAATCACTGCCGCAGTCTTTCAACAGCTTGACCTGCTGCTGCCAGTCTTCACTGATTTATAGTAATGGACCCGACTCGCTTTGGCTCTCTTTCTTCCAGGCTCTGCGTTCTGCACACCTAACTGCTCAGGCAGGTGGGCTAAATGTTTCCAGGGGAGCACCTATATGGGGCCAACTTCCAGGAGAGCTCAGTACTCTGTTACTGAACCTCAACTGTTGAGTGTGCTGGTTTACTGAGCTCTCTAAAATGACTAGCACTAGGTATGGGCATAAACCCTTCAGAAATCTCTGGCCCTAATCCAGCCCAAGACAAAATTTCACTTCTGTCTGGTTCTGTTGCATCAAACATGATCGCATGTCAGGAATGCTTCCAGCAGCAAAAAACACTCTTGGGGTTCCTGTGATTCTCTAAGCACTTTGCCCATTTGGGGGCCAAATCTTCCCTTGATGAGAACAGTCTAGTCTGTGGCTAGCCTTTGGGTTGGCACCAGGTACTGGAGGCAGATGTGCCCCTTCCTGCCTGTACAAAGTGGGGACAGCCCTGCTCTTCTGTCGGAGCTGTACGCATCGACTGAACCGTGTCTACTCGGAGTGGTTGACGGTGGATAGTGCTAAACTGCAGATGACAGCAGGCAGGAAAGCCAAGCAACTTAAACTTCATCCTGAGCTCCAAGCCCATTCCTTCTCACAGATTTGAGGCATGCTGGGGGGGTAGAAACTGCCTTACTAGAGTGACTGTCAACCCAGCTCCTCTTTCGGGTGTCTTCTCGTCACTGCTACTAGGTCCTGCAAAATGACTGTTCGTGAGCTGGTGAATGGGCTGCCTTTCTGAATCTGTGACCCTGAGCAAAGCAGCAAAACCCCTGACGGGGTTGGCCTTCCATTGTTTGAAGCGGATCAGACTATACAAAGGGATGTTGGTGGAAAGTACTAGTTATGATCAGAAAGGGGCTATCTGTGTTTACAACTGAGATGTGGATCCCTCTTTTGTTAATTATAAAATAAAATGTATATTTTCTCAAATGTTGTCTGTCGTCCTTGCTTAGCACACATGGCATGAGGCCTATTCTGCAGTCAAGTAAGATTGTGACTAAATATCTGGCTTGCATTCAGTATGTGCCCAGCAAATTCCCCAGCAGCAGTATTGATCGCCTCTCCAGCAGTAGCTCATATAGTGGAACACACCACGTCAATCTTGAGCCTTTTTCCTTGAGTGCTTGGCTAGCCCTCTTAATAAAAAGCCTTTCATATGGCAGCACTTGGTCTAAGCTTACCAGCCAATACAGCTGCTGGTGCTTGGTGGAGCTAGGCACTCATGGGGGTAGGTGTGCAGCCCTCTTGCAGGGATATGATCATATCTGATTTCTAGTCTGCAAAGTGACTGCCATGGCAAGTACCCCACTCTCAGTCCCTTGGTTTACAGCTTCTATCTGCCTGGTTGGGCCCAGAAACGAGTTGTTTTCTGCTCACTGTACCAGCATTTGTCCCTCTTTCAGTCTCGGGCAGCAACCTCAGCAGTCTGGCATTCTTGCCATTGCTCCCATTGTTTTTACCCTGGCGCAAAAAAGCGACAGAAGCCCCACTTGGAGTTGGACAGATGCAAACGTGTTGGGGAAACTTTTTTGCCTCTGCTTGCTGTGTCAGACAGTAAATGATGCAGACGGCTGCTGAGGCTTCCTGTGACTTGCATTGCCCTTCCTCAAGAAGGAAGGCTTCCTGCAGGTCACCTCCCCTTGGAGGGGGCTGGGCGGAGGGACTGGACTTCATGCATCGGGCTTGGAAACCTGTGTGATTGGGGGGGGGAAGGGCTTTTAGGGCAATTTGGGAAGTCTACTACAGTCTTCTGTACCTACCTGACACCTGAAGGTAACCAGAGCTATGCATTAGCTCCTACTGTGATGCTACTAAAGAACATGAGATCATGTTGAATCTGATCACAGGTCCGTCTAGCTTAGTATGCTACCTTTCTCATAGTAGCAGAATGCAAATACTAAGGTATGTGAGCTAATTGAGACCCATCCCAATAGCCCAAACTATTAGTCTGCGATGCTGGGTGGTGTTAGCCCTACTTACGTGGTTTGTAAAAAGGGGTGGAGAGGGGAACAGATGATTAGATGATTTTAAAATGGGAGGGCTGACTAATTGAGGCTCGAGCATGAGTTTGAGCTCTCTAGTTCTGCCATGGATTTTCTTTTTGGAGCGTTCTTCCCCATTAGAAGGGCAGGAAGATCTGTATGGCAGGCTTGTCTGGGTTTGATTTTGGTAATGCCCGGATGGCTGAGGATTCTTGGACTGAGGGCTCTCCAAATGCAGACTAGTGTGGTTACAGTATTTAGATGGCTTGGAATATACAGTGCATGTTGATTAAAAAATGCCTGTGGCAGCTAGAGCAGGCATCTCCTGGGAGGAGGCGGCCTGAGCCAGGCAGCTTGGAGCTCAGATGAATGAGCTCCTTTAGAGGCACTTTCTGCCTAATATTTTAAGAGAGGATTTTGGAGCTTTCAGAGCAGAGACTAGCACCCTTACTGATGTTGAGACGGTGGCACTCAACTCTTCCAATTTAAAGATAATTTCTGAATGCTGACCAGCTCTCTCATACTGCAGTTTTCCTTCTAACCCGGCTGCCTGCCCCCCCAGTTCCTGGTGAGGTGGTGGTGGTGAATATACTGTGTGCAAGTATCTGGGATGAAAGCAGCCTCTGTCTGCAAGGCTCCACTTTCCATTTATAGCTGTGTTTAGGCAATGCAGCACACAGAAGCTTTGCAGCCTTCTCTTGTGCCTGGTGCCAAGCTTGAGACACATCTCGCATTGATATGCAGATACTACGAGCAGTCTGGTCTCAGCAGGGCTGAGCTGCCTGAGGATGTCACAGAAATGGTGTCCCTGTGCTGTGGTCCCAAGACTGTTGCAGGCAGTTTATCACGTTCATGTTGTTCAGGCAAAGTGCCTGATCCTTGGAGATGCTGGCCAGTGCTTAGATCTCACAAGAGCAGACCCAGAGACAGCAACAGCAGTGCTTGCTCGGAGCGAGACTAGCACATCTTGTTTCTTGGCACGCGGCCACTGGCTGGCTGCTCTTGCTGCTCGCTTGAGATTACAGATTAGGCCTAACTCCCGCAGATTAGATCCAGATTTGTCCTAACACTGACCTCTGGAAACAGGCAAGTCATGGCCCACAGCACCTCTTTTAATATCAGTTGCTTTTGCAGGCACACATCGGCCAATGTGCAGTCACCAGGCATAGATGCCTGCCCCATTTCTCTTATTCTGCTGGCAGTATGGTTTCTTAGAGGCCTCCTGTTTTGAAGTCCTCAAATGGTGCTTTATTTTGGGCCTCTTGGCACCTCAATAAGGAGTGCTCTCCTACAAACTTGTCTCATGGGTCAGGATTGGCAAACGGGTTCTTTCGCTCTAGGCTGAGCCACTGGTTTGCTATGTGAAGAAGGCAAATTGCACTAATTGTCCGCTCATTTGACTGAGCGCTCGTTTAAATCGCATGGGGAGGGGGTTGTTTGTTTGTTTTTGTTTTTGCTTCAAAAACCAAAAAAACAAAACTGCAAAGCAGTGTGGCTTTCCAGGTAACTCGGGACCCAAAGTGCAGAGTGTACTCTGGGCAGGGGAGGTGGCACTGCCCCTGGAGTGTTTATCCCTGCGGATCATGATCTG